GATACGATAAGTTAATGCGTAGATCCAAATCCTCTTCGCCACAAAGCATGAACATGAGAAACGGGCTATTAAAATGGTTGCTACTCAGTCGACGGAAGGTATCATTCGTATACTCCTAGTCTGATCCTGCGGATGGTTAGTATAGTGGAAGAGAGGGAAGATGGATTGCGTATCACAGTCCAGCTAATTTTCTTGTTTGTTTTGATCCGGGGGAGGAGGCTTTATTTGGCTTTCTCGGCCATGTTCTGCAGAGCAGAGGAGAGCAGACCAGAGAACTGAATATTCATCAGATAAACGACTTTTGTCCTGGGCTCAGCGGTCTTGTCCTTATCGCTCTCGTGCTGCAGCAGCAGCAGCAGCTGCTGGTGCAGCAGACGTCACACTCATTGTGGGCTGCGAATCCTAGCTGCAGGGCACTTGTTGGCACGCCACCTTTTCGGCCTGCCCAGCAGAACTTCACAGAAGCAGCTCAAGTTGCCACTTCAAATCTCAGCACAGCGAGCGGTGGACAACGACAGACAGACAGGCGTGCATTTTCTCTACAGGCCTTGTTGGAGGAGGAGGGGTTCTCACCCTCCCACCCCCCGCCCACTCTGACTGTTAATGAAAAATCTCACTGCTAACTCTGAAGTATTCCTTTCCGATAACTGTAGACGATGATCAAGCTTATGTGTATCTCTTACACTATCTTTCAAGTGTACTCTGCCATGCAAGGATGTTCCGTATGAGCAGGACTCATTACCGATGCACCCTGCACGGTCATATGATGCGTGACTTCAGTAACGTACAAACAAATTACAGGAAAGCTGTGCGATCACTGAAGGTGAAGGGATCATTTCACGTTGAGTGATCGGACCTTCAAACTTGAGCATGTACACCCAGCTGCGGTAACTCAAATCAACTGATTAATTAGAGTCGACAGACCCTCTGATGATGTGCGGTTGCCCGTACATGTTTGTGTAAACCTCATCACGGACAATCTACTCAGTCGCTGTAAAGAGAGAATGTGGAGCCTCTCTAGACGGAGCTGGCTACAGAAGTATCGGTGATCTGTATTTCGTGCCAAGACTCTCAACTGCATGGTGTTGAATAGATGAACGGCTATACAGAAAGAAGACTGACTATTAGGGGGAGTGTGCTTGCAATAAATCGTATTCGAGTATTCGGTAGTTTTCATCAGTATTCACTTGATTGCTAAGTACTACACGCCGTACACTGATCCCAGAAAGCGCACCGCTGGATGGATACAGTTGTGTAGAAAATTCATGGTCCGAGCTGTTCTGGGAGAATGAAATTGCTGTATAGTGAACGATATACCACGTTGTATGGTACAAATTCCTACAACTTCAGATTACCAGGAGGAAGCGTCATGGTTTTATGTTTACATGGTTTCAGTCGTCTGGTGAGAACACGTTGGCCAGTCTCTGCCCTTCTTCGCTTGTAGAATGATTAGCACCAGAAGCACAACGCATGAGCAGCAGTTCGGTTGTGGGCCAAACTGATCAGGATCGAATGGAGGCTTTCTCAAGTCGCAGGAATCGTGATTGTACCTCCCACATTCTTCCAGAGTTCCAGCTTGACCACTTCTTTATTTGAAGAACATAAAAAAGAAATGGTCGCAACTTCTCTGGTTCACTTTAGTTTTCTAATAACTCGACTCTTGTATCTTAAGACCTTTCGAGTGTCGATAAACCCACTTTGCACTGCTAGTGGGAATGCATATTATAAATAAGATCTACCTTCAGAGGCCAGGAGACTCACCTCGACCTTTCAATCTACTGCTCAGACTCTACCATAGTAGAAATACTGAATCCAAAGATTTGGAAATATAAATTTCCTTCCCCCTGACAATTCGAGCTCTTGGATTTTTATTTTTATTATTTCTTCCCCAACGAACGTGGCAACCATGCCCAACTTTTGAAGGCCAGCATCACTTCTCATGCGACTGAGCGCTCACTATTCAGGTAGTAGCAGCGACAGGTATGCTGAGCTCAGTGACAAGGCAGTTGTACAGCTTTTGGAGACACAGTATTAGTCCAGACGTCTTTCTCTTTGTTGATTCTGATATTGCTGCTAGATTTCATTCTAAGATTAGACAATATGCCGACTTGTTCCGAAAAGCGAATCTAGTTAGACTGTCAAAGGGGGTGCTAAAGCTTCAACCATCCTGCCGAGTTAAATGTCTTTAGCGAGGCTAGAGCTACCACCACCCGTACGCGAGCGATCCCACTGAAATTTGCGAAAAGAGAATTAAGTACATTCATCACCAGCTAATACACAGAACCTTTAATGGCACCGATGCGAACCGGAACTTTGTAGCCCATGACTTCAGAGGTTTCTCAAGTTCCCAAATTCCAATGATGCTCCATCGATGACTCTTTGAGGTGCTCGGCTGCAGGTTTGCGGTTCAGGTCAAAAACAGAATGTACTCCTGGCGGATCAAATCTTGGGAACGCCAAAAGAAGAAGAGCAACATCGAGAGAAACAACACTTTCATGCATGTGCCACCTGCGTTGGATATTTACAATGTGACTAGGGGTTACTTTTATGGGCTAATTTTTATTGAGGAGGAAGAAGGTGGGGATCGACCAACTCTCTTTCTGGAAATGGCAGCTGCGTATAATGTCACAACCCACTTTGTTCTTCTCCACTACCTTCTCTTTGTCTTTCAGCTCTTTCTCGGTTCATGTGTCTGGCACTTATTAATTACCAAAAAATTCGAAGCAAGGGGTTTGCCTGCATGCATAGATATTGTAAAAGGCATCAGAATATGCCACAACCTACCGATGTTTTCTACTATAAAGTAAATGCCAACTACGGGCACGTCCAATTTTGACTATAGAGTAAAGAGACATTGATTAAAGCATGACTTTCAATGTCGAATATCCAAATGGACACACTTCTCATCCTGATCACTCACCATTCACAAATAATTTTAGGAATTATAAATAGTATACTAGAGACTAAGATTGGTTTTTGAGCCAAACTTCTACACCCCAAGAATCGATCAACTTATTGTTCAGGTGATGGATGAGAGATGCTAGTAGCGTGCCAAAAAATTCATTCGTAGTTAATATGATGTCATGCGCTGATCTCCTTTTCTATGGGATCCATAATAACGAAACATAATCACTTTATGTTCTATTTCCTCGTTGAACAGCCTCAAAAGCATGGAATGGGAAACAATTGTAGTAGTCAAACCTAGCGGGGATGCATGCTAAACTTCCTCCCTCCCTCTATCTTATCTTAATATTCTCAGAAGTTATGCTGATATTATCACTTCGTACTTCATCTCTATCGTGTTGCTCCAGAAGCGACCTCTCACAAAATCCATGTACTGATAGCTCATGAAGTACCGAGATGAAACGTAACACATGATGCAATCCATCTCATCTACTGCCAAATAATGTCGAAAATGCCCCCCACGTACTAGTACGTTCTAATATGGACGTCAACAAGCTCGGCATAGATTTTTTCTACGCGACCAATCGTATCTAGAGAATCCAGGAACCTGGGAATTTGAGGAAGACCACAGTACAGTCTTGCAGTGCTGACATTAATACTTACGTTGCTGAGTTTTTGTCATGACCTTCTCATCCACTCACGATACCAATCATGCCGTCCATCACTTTCGCCCCTAAGTATCATTGCCCTGCATCCTTTACTTCGGAAAGAATCCATTCGCTGATTCATCAGCAGGGCTCTTGAGCACAACTAGACTCACTGACTCGAAATGAGGTATAACGCTTCTAAATCTCCATGAAAAGATTTAACAGGGGATCTGTTTCAAATCCTACTTGAGAGTAAAATCTGCAACCTGGATATCATGTATGAATCCGCAGAGCTGCGAGGAGCTTCAATACATTATCAGCTTGCGAACTCCGCTAAGCTGAGATACTTAGAGAGGATCCAACACAACATTCACTGGACCGCCGTTTAGGGTTTAGGGTCCGTTGCTTTGTGGTAACAAGGCACTCCTTCTGATGAACATTCAATGAACTTGGCGACTTCAATCGGCATGGCCATTTTAGTTTCAGGTGTCTTAGTGTTCCACCAAGTTTCGAAACCAATTCGACATCTCATCTCGATCACTTCATAGAATCATACTTCAACTTCGACATTTTAGATGCTGTGTTCGTCTTTTGAACTTTTGATATTCAGATTGTTCCAAAGTCAAATCCTTTAATACTCTTTTACTGCTAGAATTCAAACAGTTTTCTCTTGAACTTTGCTGTACGGTAGTATGTGTGCATGTGAGAACGGTTTATCGTACATTTGCAAAACACTTTTCTCGGACCTCGTCCTTCAGACACACGCTTCTATTTTCCTTCAACTTCGATGCATAATTCATCAAAAATTGAGGCTGGTTGAAGTACTTGGACGTACTATGTTCTGCCCATGTTACATTTGTGCGCTGTTTCATCCTATTTGGTGAAAGAAAGTGAAAGCTAATAGCCGCAGCTGTATGAGACAGGACACATGCTTTTCTTTCGATGATGTAATACAACCGTTACAGTGAATATCTACAATGGCTTTCACAGCTAAAGGAATACACAATCGTTTGAGAGACTCGTCCCTTCACTTCTATTCCCGCTAGGTAGAGAAACGACACATGGAGTTGTGATCCATGTAATCAAGTTCAATAATTAAGGTAATGTAGACAAAATCATCTCAATTAGTTCAATACTTGATGTAATTCTGTTGTTGTGTTTACCATCCCATCGAGATATTGAAGTCTTTTGTCAACTCGGCTTAATTTTATAAATATATTCAATGACTTGAAGCGCACGAACTGATTAGGTTTGGAGCTCTATACAGTCTGAAGACACCAGTTTCAGTGAAGGCATGGATGACCATGAATACTTCTGAGGATTCATTCGGAGTTGAGAAAGAAATGTTCTATACAATGATACTCATAAAGCTATGCACTGAGATTGCACCGCCGGACACCCGTAGGATAATATATATACATCGTCACAGAACAAATTTAAGTACAAAAACCCATATCAGCTGGTCATAAAACAATTGAAGCTTCGGAACTGCTCTGAACGTGCTCACATTTATAAACCTGTCGGTATTTTTACTTAAACACTTGGAGATCTCAACTAAAGGGCAAACAGGAGCTCCGTGAAACAAATCTAAGAAGGCTTTAGCCAGTTGCAAGGCACCTTACCAACTTGATTTTGAGATACACACAATCCTCTAATCTTTCATAAACAACAACCGTCTACTGTCTGCATTACTCGATAGTAACGTGAACTTCCTGTTTCCTGTGGAAGATTTCAAAAGGACTGCTGTAGCCTGCGAACACTAGACTGCTCTCATCGTAGTGAAGATTTGCACTGTCGAGCTCATCTTTCAGCTTCACCCACTGGGTGTAATAATCTCTCTCACTTGGGAACCCTCCAAACATATTCGAAACTGCAACAAGCGATTCCTCCGTTGAGACAATCTTTACATTTGGGTCAGTTGGAGTTGGAACATCTGCGACACTTTTGTACCTGCAACAAGTCAACAACAAAAATTCGGTTCCGAAGTAAGCCACGTGATGGTTAAGAGCGGCATAACACGCACAATCGACTTGCATCGTACTTTAATCTAGAAAAGAGAAAGGATATGATCGATACGTTTCCAGATCAGATTCATAGTGGACTAAGACAACTGCTTCTCGTTTCTTCCGTGGTGATTTGAAGCAATATTCTTGCGAAACTTCACACCGTAAGAGACCTTATCTTCCTGGATGGGCATTCTGAACTGTCAAGGGAAACTCTTCTCAAGCAAATAGGAACCACCCGAAACACTTGAATCCACTTAAATGGACAAAAGCAGAAAAAACACAGAATCTCATGCCTGTCTGAAGAGCCTAATCAGGTCATTTAGGACCTGTGTAGAAAGTGACACGCTTAGAAAACTCAGCTAGAATACAAAGAAGAAACAGTGACAAGTATAGTGGCGAATTTCTACAACATCATCATAGCTCGTATATTCAACAGTTTATTCTTAGAGAAATGACTGCATTTCTTCCCCACATGACAGCTCTTGCATAATGTGCAAAAAGTTTCGTAGAATGTACAGATGCAGAGATTCCTCGGTGACAGAAATCTTAGCCTACTCTCAAAAAGGTCAAACAGAAAGAAGTCAGTTATATTCTGTTACCCTTCATGTCACAATAAGGACGACACTGTTTGACTAAAAAACCGAGCAAGTCATATAACGGGCAACGTGCGGTTGAGGAATGTGGCTCATTCTATGTGGCCTCACTAAACGAATCAGCAATCGTTCTAATCGTTGCCTGTCGCACGAAGTATCTTCATCCACACATAAATAAAGATAACTAAGGCAACTCAAGGTCGAGATATATATAGGAGATCTCATTCATGGAGATATCTGCAAAGGTGATATATGAGCCCTAGAGCTGTCCTGCACCTGACACAACTGTACTTCAACTTAATACATCTCGGTCTGTGAATAATATCAGGGACCTGATACAATACAGGTCTCTCATACTCAACATAGCAGCAGGAGCAGAAAGTCTCATTCTTAGTCTCAACAATTACATGTCAAGATGCAAAACACTTTACACCAATTTTTTTCCCCTATCATGAGAGCAAGACTACTAAACCTCCAATACACTGTCAATGGCCACGTTTATAGAACGTAGTCGTTTTGTTCTCCCCTTGAGCACAGTCTCGGACGGAACGAACTGTGAACGTGTCAATAAACTCCAACGTCGGTTCGACGTAAGTCACAAAGTTCATAAGATGAACGCATTATCACATTAAGAAGTCGTCATTTCAGAGAACAGGAGTAACTTACTTGCTAGGAGTAAAGAAGGCGATCTTCCAGCCGTTTGCCTCAGGAGCGGGTTTGATATGGACAGGCCCAGTCATCTCTATGCTTTCCTTGGCTGAGTTCTTTCCAGAAATGAAGTAGAAGCAGCGATAGAAGCCATCTGAACATGCCTGTCTGTAACTTGAGTTGGCGACAACCGTCTCCGCCCAGATCTGCATTGAAAATTATAACAACATCAGAACTAAAAACTCAAATTCAGCGGAACGAAAGGGGTATACTGAGTGAAAACAGTTCGGCACTTTGAAGCGATGGCACATCTGCGTTATACAACTCATAATAATGAGCAGTGACGGTGGTACCAATTCACTGCATTCCATGCACTAGCACATCTTGGGATTTTGAAACCTATGAACCTTCCAAGAAGAACATACAATCAGAGTATTTCAAAGTCTGAAGACCTTGATCAAAAGAAGTTCTTTTGAACTGGCATTATGTCCAAATACTTGGAATGGAGAAGTAAGACGAGTTTCAGTCCCTCAGAGCTGCTGACCATATAAAGGGAATACTTTTTATGACAAGAGCACTGTGTTGTTCGAAAACAAGTTGAAGCCTAACTCTTACTAAGTTAGGTAAAGCTAAGAATAGTTAGAAGCCGAAAGTCTAGGACGGTACGTGTGGCGGATTGGGGAGGAAGTAGGCATAAAATGTCTTCGCTCTGACGAAGAAGCATAAAACAGCAGAGGGGGAAGAGTCAGACAGACCCGCCCTGGTGTTCCTCAAGTAATGTGATGATCGAATTTGACATCAGAATGAAATCGTGAGAGAGATACAATTCTAGTGCAAAGGTGTAAACCTTATTGGCTTAAGATGAAGCCAGAAGGATTCACTAGTAATTGTACACTAACAAGAGCCATGTAAGATAGGCAGGCTTTATGAAGACAGTCTTTCATACGAAGAAAATCATCGTGTTCCTGCAGAAAATTAGCTATCCTTAGTTAAAGAAGTCATGATTCACGTTATAACTTGTACATCATGAAGGTATTTTCCCATCCTTTTCCTTACTATACTTCGAGCACGAGAGTTGTTGAAAATTCTTTTGGGAGGTGAATTATACCCAATCTTACTTTCCAGATGCTCAATCGAGAAATTCCAATTTCTAAGAAACGCCCCCTGTGTCTAATGAGTACCAAGAATCAAGCAGCAAGGACAACCAGGTGCATACAAGCCAGATACTTGACATGGGATAGCCACTGCCCAGGGCTGCTCGCCTCCAAAACAAGTCAATGCATGCAAACTCAACTGGCATTCAAAACATGAACCCATTTAACAAAGCAGCGGACGTCCATGCAACCGGAACTTACTTGGCCAGCGGGATAACGGCGCAGCTCAAAACCATCGCCCTTCTTCTCGACTGTGCAGACAGGAGTCTCAATGGACAATTTGGGGCCGCATTGCTCAGCCTCGTTCCCGCTGTCGGTCACCAGTCGGAGAGCAGGCCCTTGGAGTGCGAGGTCACGAGCCTCGACGCACGACAGCACTGCCACGCAGACGAGCGAGCACAAGAAAACGGTGCAGCTGCTTCTAATTGTCGCCATGGCTTCTTCGCCTTCCTAACGTCAAGGGAAAATTGGGGCAGATTCGAGAACACGAGAATGTGACGATCGATGTACGATGCGGAGGCGGAGGCAGAGTTATGGACCTTCGTCGAGCAGTCGACGAGGCGTCCTTCGGTCGGGATGAGATGCTTCGCTCGGCAGCCAAGTGGCAGCCGCCTCGCGTTCTCTCTCGCTCTCTCGTTCGAATGCTTTGGCGCGGCTTGTGTGCTCGCAAATCTGCCGCGTCGACGCTACGTCCGTTCCTATGCTCCAATCCCGTCCGACCTCCCGAATGAAACGACTTCGTACTTGACAATTGTCTCAACTACGTAGGAAACATTCACCACGAAGCAACACCTAGTCACCGAGTAAATAGGCAAAAAAACATAAGAAGTCTCTTAGACATTCAAACCTTAAATGACCAGCCAAAATGTCTGCCACAAGAAGCACAATCACTAATCTCTGCAAGTGCCTAGGAATTCATGAGGTACATATTTTCATTCCACGCTCAATGCATTTGAATATAACTGGTTTTCTTACATGATTTATTATCTCTTAAACCCATATGGTGTACACTTATCATCATCTTATTGCATCGAGCATCTTAAACATCTTTAGTACATTGTATTCTCGTCTGCATTAGCCTCTATAGTGAGATTCCCATTCTTAGTTTCTTACATACTATAAGAACACCCTTCTTAACTATTATCTTTATGTAAGATATATAATAGATGTGGTTGGAAACTAACTTAGGTACCAAAAGAAAAATTGGTACCTAAGTTAGTTACTATGCTTTGTACGTTATTCATACTGATTTCATATAAAAAATTCCTCATAGAGACATAAATCTGATAGTTAGTCGTAGTAAAGGGTTGTTAGTTAATAATAGTATAGTAAATCAAAATGAGGGTTGAAAGTTATATCAAAGTTCTCAATGGCATACAAATTTCATATCCCGATGAAAACGTAATGAAGTATATAATATTCAATAGATTGTAGTAAATAGATTTATGTTTTGGTTTAACATAGTTAGTTGAATCATGATTAATGAGATCATTCAGTCTGTTTTTATAGTTGTTCTCAAAGATTTAATTAAGATTCATAGTAAATGACTCTTTTCGTGTACGTCAAAGGACTAGAACAAATCACATCTCTCTTGTTTTCACTCTTTGAAATTGCATATCCTGAAAATGTAGATCTTCACAACGTGATACCACTACCTGAATGGTGTATGTGATGATTTGCGCCAAATCGTTTTGTATGAAGATTTGGAGATTGCATTAAACTACTTAATTGATTGAGTATTTAACAAAGAATTGTTTTATGTTCATGAACATGAAGGTGAGATTGAAGAATAATCTTGTTAAAAGATCTTACATATTCTGAATTAGAATTATGATGATGATAATGATTTTTGAAGATTGATGTCATCATTGCTATTCATAAATATTTCAGCAAATTGACAATTTTGATGACAGTAATTTTGAAATAAAATTTTTTAAATTGATGATCAAAATGTTTGATTTGATACTTGATGAAAAATTAACAAGAAACAAGATTAACAAAATTATTGTCAAAGATAACGTAGAAAAACATAACGCATTGAGAATTCACCAAATTTATTGGATATAAATAATAAATCTGATGCAAAATGACAAGTTCACGGCATAGAAAAATAAACCAATCAAACTCAAAAAAACTTGAAAATCTATAATATCAAAGATTTAGGAAGATAATTTTTTATTTCATAATCTGTGATGTTGAATATTAATCCTCAAAATAAAATATGAAATAATTAATGACAAAAAAATAAAATAAGAAAATTCAATAATTTATGAGAATTATTTTAATCAAGTGATAGTTTAGAAATCATACTTAAAAATACAAGAATTTTGATGATAATTAAAAAACTCAGTATTTTATAATGATCATCACACTTGTGCAAATTGAATCAAAAAATCCAATAAGTAAAAAAAATTAAAAATTATCAAAAAACAAGAAGTTATGTAAAATTTAAAAACACTTGAGAGTATTTGAATTTATTCTTTGATTGAAAAATATGTGAAAGTTTTAACGGAAAAATTTTAAAATATATTAAAATTTGTATGTAGATTTAAAATTCAACTAAATAGAAAAATTCTATTTTTAAAATCACTTCAATTAAATGTGTCAAGTTTGACATTGATAAAATTAATTAGATATATATATATTTATAAAATTTCAATTAAAAAAAATTGTTCACTAAAAATTGATCACAAAATTAAAAAATAAATTAATGTAAAAGTAAAAAGTACTTGCAAGTATGTGATGTTTATATTTGATTAAAAAAAATGAATAATAAATAAAAATATATTTAAATTTGACTGAAATGTTGATATTAACTTTTGTTAAAGAGTAAACTTGGCTATTTTTAACTAAGATGATAGCTTGTACTAAGGGTTAAATAGTCTAAGATTTCTGTACAATAAGAAGGTTTTTTACATATCGAAGTAAATTTTCTCGTGTGCGATTTCCCTGTAGATGTAGCCCTTTGAAGGATGAACCAAAATATACGTTTTGTCTTGAGTGTTGGCTTAAGTTTCACTAGATTGACTTTACTGTTGATGATTCTCTGTTTAATCCTATTAATTAAAATTAGAGCTAGGTTTTGGTTCAGAATCCATGATAGGGCGTGAGTAATTTGTGAGAGTGTTTTCAGTTTGTGTCTGTTTGAAATTTTATTGTACTTTGATGACGTATTTTTTGAAGATCTAACTCTTTCTAATGACTGTTTTTTGTGACGAGGTCGGGATAATTTGAGGTTGAGTTTATGAGTTTTTTAGAGAAAAGTACAAGTACGAGTTTGAAACCAGGTCAGTTGTACAAATGTTCAAGGTGATGAGACAAATTGTTGTTCAAGATAAGGTGATAATTCTGACTTAGAGATTTTCAAAGGTTCAAAAATTCTTAAAAGGTTCAATTCAAGGCAAATTAGAGAAATATACTATGATAGTTTTTTGAGGCAAGTTCAAATTCACGTTGACAATTTTTTTGACGGTTTTCTAGCGATGAAGTCATTTCAACGGGAAAACACAAATTCAATAGAATACTAACAATCGTAAAGTATGATTCGTTGAGACAAAGATACCAAGCACAAATTCTCATCAAGAATTCGTTGGCCGAGTTCATTTCAGCTAAGTCTAGCTCAGCTTGGTTTGTTTTTTAATGTGATATTCTTTGTCTTCCCCATCCACATTTTGACGTTCTTCCGAGGAGTCATCGTTATTCAATGGAAGAAGTGGAGCCTATGATACTCTAAGCTTTGTTTTTTGGCTTGCGGTAAAGATTATATCATAGCAAATCACAAGAAATATGTTTTCAAGTGAATTTTTTTTGTCCTCATCCGTTTAGTTGAATTTCATGACAAAAAAAGAAGCTCTTTGATCAAAATTATGAGACATTCTTTCATTTATGAGACATTGGTTCATCACCAAAAAAACTTTCAAATTTGACTCAAGAAGAAAGCTGCATCCTCAAAACTCTCTTCTCGTGCTCCCGAGCTTCCTTCATTGCCATAAACGCGAACTCATTAACAGCTTCATAAGGCCTTTGAGAGTAAGCCTCACATCGTTATAACCTCGATCCACGTCCGTTGTATCACAAAAGAATAGTGTCCGAAAAACGACAAAATCTACACTCGCATCACATCATCAAGTCATTTACAAAGCAAAATTTGAATCCGCATTCCCTTGTGATGAGTTCACAACCCAGCTGTAACTTAACATGCCCATTGACATTGATTCGACTAGAGTAAGATGAAACAAGAACTAACACACAAACACGATGTACACACAATCAAATCAAATCGATTGAGCCGAACGCATGAAAAATCAGGGAGGAGTAAACCAATACGTAGGTAAATTTGAATCGCGGAAGCACAAAGGTTTGCGAGTGTGCGCAAAATTGAGCATGTAGAGCCAAACGAACAAAGCATGTGCGCAGGTAGCCGTGCCTCTAAACGCAAAGACAAGCAGGCGGCCGAGAAGAGTCACGCGAGATTTCGCATAGTCATACAGGCTCTTGGACGATCCGACAAAGACGGACGCAACAGGGGATCAAACCCAATGCAACACTCATCGTTTCGCTCAAACGACACGTAATAGTTTCAAGCAATACTAATTGAAACAAGTAATGATTGCCATTACTTGAACAGCAACGATTGGTGGAATGTTGAATCCAAGACGATGAGAATTAAATCCAAAAGGACAACCCATGCGAGGTTGAGATCTAAGTCGAGGGGTAGATCCCTTGAGAAGAAGACAGTGGCTTATTGGAAATGTGTCAAAAGTAACAACATCAAGAAAGATTATCCTATAAACGTCAAAGTCGTTGTTTTCATTCCAATGGCAAATGTTGCAAACTCCGAATGGCGGAATGTTGGATCCTAGATGATGAGATCCATGTATATGATCGCTGAAAGAAAGAGATTCCTCTCTAGAGTAGAGAGATAGAGATGTGAGTCTAGGGAGGTAAAACCTCTAAGAGTAAGACGGTGGCTTGTTGAAGATTTGGCAAGAATGTTCATTTCAAGAAAGATAAGGGTGTAAATATCAAAGACGATGGTTCCCTCCATTGATGAATGGTGTAGAGGACTTCAATTCTCGAGGAGGGCGATCATCTGGATGATGACATATGATGTCGAAGGAATTACAAGCTGTAGAATCTAATAGCTTGTAAGGTTCTTGTCAGTAGATATGTTTTTTTCAATGAGCCTAGATTATTGAAAGATGGGAAGAGTTCTCAAGCTCTCCATATTGACAAAGTAAAATCTCTATTCATGGATATGATTGTGGGGGAGTTTGATCATTATGTGATAAATGATTAAGAAGAGACACCGGTACTGGTGGAGATCTTGAGAAACATGAACTACAAAATAGTTTCAAGCAACACTATGCTCTTATGAAGATTGTGCATGGGGAGCACAAGAAGATTTTGTTAACATTATATTAGTTATCTCTTTATATAATTACTCTATCTAATGATGGCTACGGCTTAATTTTAGTTAACTCTTGTGTAAAGAGTTACATTTTATTAAGTTTCTTTCTAAAACCTCCCACGGAATAGTTATATAGGTTACAAGGTTTATCTTCTGTCTATGCTAGCAGTTTTTCAGTTACATCTTTATGTTATTACTGTATCCTATTATGACTACAGTTTAATTCTTATTATCTCACGTGTAAGGAGAGTACTTGTGTTAGATTTTTGCCCAAAACTTCCCGCGGTGTAATAATAGGAATTAAAGATAATATTGTTGAGGTTAATTTTTGTTAAGGACTGTTGGGTTTAAATAACTCAAGCTTTCTGTACTGTAGAAAGTATTTTAACATACTGAAGTAAACTCTTGCGCAAGTAGTTCTCCCTGGGATGTAACCCTCCGTAAGATGAACCAGGTTATACATTGTGTCTCGTGTGTTGGTTTGAGATTTGTTGGACTGACTTACCATTGATGATTTTGATTTAACCCATTTTTTAGTTTTGAAATTCAATCTAAAATTTTTTTTTAAATTTTTTTATGATAATAATTAAAAGTGTCAAATTTGAAATTGATAAATTTGATTAGGTTTTTTGTTTATTTATAAGTTTTTAACTCCAAAAAAAATTTCCTCAAAAATGACAATTTTTTAAATATAGATTTGATATTATTGCTCTTAGACATGTTTTACACATACTATGATTATAAAATTTTAGAAATTTATCAATATTTGACAATTTTATTAAATTTTACTTATATTTTGTTAGTTTATGATTGCAACCTTAAGCTTCACATAATTTTTTCATGAACAGTATAAATTTGGTTTCTTTTTTCATTGAACAATATGTATTTTGATTTCATTTTTTATTTTATGTCTAATAAAAAATTTGAATTCATTAATTTCATATTAATTTTGATAAAATCAATTTTAATATTTATTATTTTTCATTTATGTACGAACTTTGAATATATAAAAGATCTTTGATACTTTTAAAAAATTGAAAAATCTATATGTGCCACATGAAAGAAAACCTTGAAGACTTTGACTATTCAAAAAGATAAACTACGCATGAGTTCTATAATTTGATAGTTCAAAGATATAAAATTTTTGTATAGAATTTAAAATTGAAATTGAAAAATTGATCATAAACATGACTCTTGAGCAGCCCTTTGTAGATTAGGCAAATGCATAATATGCCTAATCTTAACCAATTAGGCACACATTTTTTTTAAGATTAGACATTGATTAGACATCTATCTAAATTCTATTTTTCAAGGAGTTTTGTTATGTACTTATGCGAGCAAAACAAGATATGCTACATTTTGATGGCAGCAAGCAACTTTTCTCTGGAGACATTTCTCCAATGCAAGAAGCATTGGAGAAATGTCTCCAGAGAAAAGTTGGTCAGGTTTTTACTGAAGACGTCTTTGTGGAATTTTAAATGCAAGAAGTTGCTTTTGAGAGGTGCCGTGTTAGGAAATGGTGAAAGAAGCCCGCCCACAAACTGACACAATTATTCGAATTGGCCTTTGAGGCAAGGCAGCGTCTTGTAGAACGAACTACTGTAGTGAATTCCGTCAATAACTTTCCTGAAATTATGATCGCTGTTGTACTTGGCTAGAAGCTCACCGAATTCCAAGCCGATTGTGTCAATTTCGGCAGGGTTTCACGACACTTTCCTCCGTTCCCGATGTTTACAGATTAGCAAAGCAATGTCGCGGCCTCTGAGCTTGACCGGCTTAAATGGCTACGCCGTCAAAATGATGGTGTTTGTCCAGTCATTGTTGTTGTCTTGATCGCAATGCAGTTTGTCACGCGTCAGATCATTCAGGCTTTCTAGGGCGATCATGTAGAAATGACCAAGGTGGTGCATAAATCCAATGATTTCAGTCAATGATGCATACCAGCGCCAACAAACGACGTTGGTGGCTGGGTCCAGGTTGGCATGATTTGTGGAGTCACGTTGTACATCAATTGTCACCATCAAGTCGACGATAAGCTTATGTACTTGGAACTCTTGTTTACTGAGCGTCAACCGTTGGCCTTGCAGTAGCATCACTATTGTGTGAATAGACTTGCTAATCATCGTGGTTGCGGCGTTGACGATCCACCACGCGTTGCAGCAAGCAATGCTAATTTTGACGCGTGGCGAGGGTGCCCGTGCAAAAATTTGTTGAAGTGAGCATTGATGGCATGGCGGTGTTGCTTTAGCCAAGACGTAGCCGAATACATGGTGTGCCAGCGTGTGGTAGATGTTTTTGGGTAGATAGACTTCATTTCGTCGATCAGCTTTGACTGCCTAGAACACCAGGCAGGTGCACCAGACATGATCACCACTTCCCATCGTCGAGCTTTTGATATGTCTCCTACAAGAGAATATTGAGCTGGTGCAAAAGACACCACACATGTTTGAAGCCGGGAAGAACTGCTTGCTCCAACTTGTGGAGAACATCAGCGTTGCCGCCGATCATATTGCGTGAACCATCAAAAGATCCACCGATCAGCTGGGACTTTCAATCGGGACTTAGCACAAAGAAAAGTTTGCTAAGCATTTCATACTGAGCTAATCCGGTGTACGAACTCAAAAATGAGACTGACACAACATGGACGTTGTATAGTTGTCGTTGCCAAACAAAGCAAACGCGGATGTCGACGTACAATGTTTTCAAGCAGGTGGAACCATCAAACGCAAGAAAAAGGGCCCAAAGATTATGCAGATTATTCGCGATGATTTGAAAGTTTACCGTGCACTGAATGCGGATGAATGTGGCGACCTTGAGCTCATTCATTCCGCCAATTTTTGAGACACAAGCCGTATCCTTGACTATTTGAAGTGCCAACGCAGTCTGCCGTAAGCTGAGCCCAATGCCAGCATATTTGACAGTCATTTTGAGCGCCAGAGGTGTTTTAGCCGTTGTTGAGAAGTTGTCCAACTCCAAGTCGTGAACAAAAATGCGCATGGCGTTGTCATGAGTTTGGCTGTCAACGTCGTCAGGACTCCATAACATATCCCATATAAGAATTTCAACAATGCTTTGGTAAAGAAAAAAGGTCAGGGCATACTTTTCCGTGTCCACATAGGAGACAATGGTGTTTGCAAAAGGGATCGTGATCTCAAAGTATACAAACTTCTTCACTGCCGAAAGCCGTTGATAAGCCTCCCAACGCTGCGGATGCTCGAGTTTCAAGTGAGTGTGGTTTTTCTCTGGCCAAAAAATTGGATCAAAGTTCTTGTAATTAGTACTTTTCACCCTCTTTGCACCCGGTTTGCTTTTGCGGCTAAAAACAAAGCAAAATCTACACTCAACAGAGGTGATCATGCCACTATGCAAGTTCATCTCAGCAACCAACAGACCATACTTCACACGGTGCAAAAGATCAAAAGGTGTTATCTGTGTAGCTGCTGCTTTTTAGCAAATGATGGCCATTGTTTTAGGGAAATGCGGTGTTGCCGGAGGAGTTTGAAGTCCGGACGTACGCCTATTTGCATTGTCCTGAAATTAGACATCCCTCCCGTAGAATTAGGCATATTATGCATCTATTTTTTAAGTGGCTAATCTACAAAGAACTACTCTTAAGTGATTGCCAAAAAGATAGTTTTTTGAACAATTGTTACTAGAATGTTTTTGTTGAGATTAACTTAAGTTGATAATCTCGGATCCTAGCTATTTATAACTAGGACAGTTGTCTGGACTGAGGTTAATTACTCTGGCTACTGTACCGTACATAGAGTTTTTTGTGATAAGATCTCGAGTAAATCGTCACGTGTTCTTGGTAGACATAGCCCTACGGCTGAGAGTGAACTACGTTATACAATGTGTCCATTGTGTTGAATCCTTGGCTTAAGTGTTTCATTTTGTTTTGACTGTTTCAGTTTTAATTTTGAGCTTGAATTATCGTAAGAAATGAATAAAATTATAAAATCATATAGTGCGTGGTGACTAATGAGATTTGATGCACAGAACTAGAATTTCAGAATTGAAATGATTTTCAGTAGATTTGTTGCAGCTTTACTTTTGCTACAAATTTTGTTTAATAGATTCTTTTGAAACAAATCAGTATAACAAAACATGATAAATGTCTTTGATATTGATCAAAACAACATTATAAAACTTATATTTGGTAGATGGGTTGGTATGTTATGTTACAATACATTCAATTGTTGGAAAATGAATCTGAAAGTTTTTGTGTACTATATTCTATGGATATTTTTTAAGTATTACCATAACAACAATCAATTTCTAATAAAGTTTGATTGATGATAGATTGTTTACAATTTAAGAGTTGCAAGATTTTCATAATAGCGTTTAAGCTACTGAAATAGACAAACAAAAAGCCTGCGAATTTGAAAAAAGGAGTACAATGACTTATTATAACAAATGTTCACACATCATGCAAGTAGATATTTTCGGATGACTCAATGTAAACGAAAAAGACAAATTAACAAAAAAAATCATTAAACATGTTCTTGAAGAAGATGTGTTTGATTAAATGATTAAACTAATCATATTAAGAACTAAGATTGAAGATGAATTTAATTTTGCTCACAAAGTTCAATAATAACCAATGATACGTTGATGTTCACGTTGGTGTTATAAAATCTGAGTTTCAGAGTTTTGATAACTTAGTTGGACTATATTCTTACCATTTCGTTATCGAAAATTTTCTGTCTTTCCTTTTGACATATTTCGGCGCGTCCCGCAATGAAATATTTGTATACAACATTTTGATTTTCATATGGAACTGCATTTACATAGAAACAATAATATTCCCATTTAGGCAGTTGTTTATTCATTTTCCCTAGCAGATGCGATGCTCCTTGATCCGCGGGGCTTCTTTCTAGTTCATCAGCTTTTTCCGTTTACGATGGCGGTGGCTACAACTTGTCTGCCCCAAATGAGGTTTTTGATTATCGTTTTGTCCTCTTTGTGCTTCTGTTCCAGACGGTCAGATTCTGATCTCGCAACGGTCGCAAACGTACTGTAAGCCAGAATACTTGCGCAAGACTGGAGTAAAAAGTCTCACTCTTTTGTCTTATGGACTGTCTTGGAGCATGCAGCCTCCCAAACGGAAAGGAAACTGATTGCCGAATCGCTCGCTGCAGTTTCATCGCAGTCCAAACTTCCTTCAAGAAGTAGAAAGCTTGACACTGGAGACGGAATGCCAAGGATCCTCGTTCACCATGCGGGTACATCTTGAAACTCGAGCTCCATTGACTTTCTATTTTGGAAGGTGGGAATTGCGAGTCCCAAAAACTTGCCTGTTTCCAACTCAAGCCAGGGAGGGAAGACTCAAGAAGGCCAATCCGCAGTATTTTATACTTCAACTGGTGGCTCCGGACAAGAAAAGTCATATTCTGCACCCCAACTCCTGGAGCTGTGAAAGGGTTAAAAGCTCCAGAGTGGCACATGCATGCGGCACACGGAATATCTGGTGTCATTTGCTCCTGTACCGATTTCGTTTACACGTTTACAAATCTGTACCCAGCTTGTCACCAACTCGCTCCTTATATATCATTTATTATGATATCAGTTGTGGGCAACCTTTTGTGTCCAAAGCCGCCCGCAGACGCAGACCCTGTGTTGCTTATATACACTCAACTGACTACTCTCTAACAACTTGATCATAAATCCAAAATATTGCAGCATCCCATAGGCCAACTTGTGGTCCTAAGTCTAGCATGTGGGTCTGCAATCTACTGTCACGGCTGGCAAGTTCCGCGACTCTTATTCAGATTCTGTAGAAGCTGTATACAATCTCTGAATGAGAATACTCCGGTGTCGATGACTAACTCCAACCGGAGCATCCCAATGATTGACTCGGATCTAAGTCCCTTCACGACTACAGCTGCCAAGGAACAAGCTGTTAATATTCAGGTATCTCAATGATCCTGAACTCTGTCAGGAGACCAAGTCCAGTCCCTTCTTGTTGCTGGTTTTCAAAGATTCTCTCTTATGTGTATCTTTTTGATACCGAAATGTAATCGATGTTCAGATCTAAAATATTTTCTGTTCTGCAGTCACAGCGGCAGAACAGTCACTGAATGTTTCTTCGGAACAAAGTTGGGCCCATACTGCTGTCGGGACAACGTTCTAAACTATCACTAAGTAATTCTCCGATGCCTTGAAATATCTGCACCCTTGTTTTCCAAGACCGTGTGGTATGCCTGTAAAATATCCCCGCGATTACGCGATAATATGAGCTCAGAAGGCCTAAGATTAAAGGGATGTAGCAGCGGATTATGACGATCAATCCAATCTTTACGAAGTTTCTCTTTCGTTCCTGATAGTCTGAATTCTAGAAAGGCCTGTGCTTGAGTGGTGAAGGTGTGAGGACCAGCACAGTTAACAATCCCTTTCAGCATCCAACAGATATAAATATCTGTATGCAGGAGCACCGTGTTGGCCTCCCTAGGTCCGAGTACCCTACATTGGGCAGATTTAATTTTCCAGGTTCGCTTTGGAAATATTAGCTTCACTGAAGTTCAGAATAATTATTAAAGCTCAGATTTTTAGATAGTTAAGGAAGGTTAATGAATGGTTATTTTAGAAATTTTAGAGCGGACAATATATTCTTTTGGCTAATGTTCTGGAATTCTTACAGTTTTGTGTTGATGGAAGGTAGCAAAGCCTCAGACTGGTAATGATTCGCGATCTACGAAAGGTGGCAGAAGATCCTTAGAATATAATGAAGTGAAGGAGATGTGGTCGTCACTAGGAGAAGAAATGGACAGATCAGGAACAGTACAAAGTTTACGTCGCGTGTTGGGGTAGATCAAACATCGAGGGCAATGGACGATCATGATGCCGAAAGTAATATCTGGTAGTATCTTCACGATGGATCTAGTCGCTTTAGCACAGAGTGGCTTGATCCCTTACAAAGCACCGGCGCATAAACTGAGCCCCACTCAATATTGTTTCAACAACCGATGAAATTCGTTTATATATATATACATATACATTCATAAATAATTAATTACGTTTCAATTTTATACCTTTGTTTCTCCTCGCAATCGGCCTCTTATGTGGATACATGCTATGCAAGATACATGATTACGTTAGACAGCAAACATTCGTTTCCCGTATCATGATGTTTTCCAGATACGGGAATGATTATCTCAGATACTGTACCTTTCCATACTTGGACACTTGGTGTCCAAGTGTGGGAAGGTGCCTATGGGACCTTCCCACACTCTGGGACCTAATACAATATCTTCCGAAAATATACTGCACATGGGTAACTACTATCGGTAGGACTCAAAACGTCAACTGATTTGTTTAATATTCAGTTCAGGGCCTTTGATTTCAACGGTTTTCATCACTGCTTATATTCAGCCCTCATCTTCCTCCTGTAGCTGCCCGTAACATCTACCGTCAGACGTATATATCTTACCCATCTGAATTTGAGTGGTCCAGCTCTGCTCATTCCAAGATGTCTCTTGAATAGAAGCATTGTCTGAAACCTCAAAGAAATTCAAGCCTGAAAAAAATTATCTGAAAACTCTTGTTCGCAGATTCAGTTGTGTTGTGATATGAGAATCCAATTTTCTACTCTCTTGTGATGAGATCGATCACGAAGGCAAAGGAGAGCTTGGGAACGCTATATAACAGGCCGCAAGAGAGTTGCTGAGGAGATGATTGTTAGAGCAGGCAATCGCCGCCGCACGGAGTCATCTGAACGCCTCAAATCTACTGAGAGCTGGACAGTGATACTTCTTGAGTCCAGTTGCAGAGGGTGTCTGTATCTACCAAGTATCGCATGCAATAACCTTGCGACCCATGACCCCGTGCCGTGTAGGTTGGACGGTGATAGTGTCAGAGATGGATGAAAGAAGAAACGAAGTGCAGAATGTTTCCTTTCAAAGGAGGGACATCGTGCCATTAGAGTGGCTTCTCACGATGCATTCCATTAGAGTGGCTTCTCACGATGCATTCCATCCTGAGAAGCCACTTGCATTTAGTTTCGTCTAATGCTCTTTGCCACTTCACGCAGTAGATTACTTTCAGTCGGTCCATATATGTGTTCTCCATGTAGTTGAAATAAGAGTTGGATAGAGAGTCTTTCATTTTCAGGTTAATTGGTTAGCTATAATGTTAATCATGTTAGAATTTTGGTCAAATTTTTAATATTCTTATGTTGTCATGAAGAGAATTTATTTTTTGTGAATATTAGAATTTTCTATATCATGTTTGTTATGATTAATTATGAAAAGATGATTTGTGACGCACAAATGAATTTGGAAAATTATGTCATTCAATAATGATGTTTTTTCTATATGGTAAGTACTCAATTTGTACTTACCATATGGAGAGAACAATCTTTATCAATGATTATGTCGAATATACTAATATTTTGTTGGGATGAACATCATATCAAATGTTGTCGCTATTATCAGAAGATAGAATTTTATTTCAATTGATTCCATTTCAAACTACTATACACACCAACAGGAATTTATGAATCCAGCATGATCTCTAATCGTGGATTTTCTCTTTGAGACAGGTTGATATCATCCAAAGGATTTCTTCGGGGGAGATGAGAGACATGACAACAACACGATTCGAGAAACACAAATTTGGTAGAATCAGGCAGCTCACCAAATTCAACAACTCCCGAGAACTTGAGGTACAGAAGACACCGTTATAAGTGAATATACAGCTGTTACGTAAAAACAGCCATCCTCGCCTCTCATTGAATGCAACGCATGTTATTTTTCGAGGTGCACTTTGGTTGCATTCCTACATCTGTATGTTATGCTACAAAAGCATAATAGAACAAATAGTATGCTTGGTAGAACATTCATTATTCGTTTTCAACTTACGGGGAAAGCTCATAAATCATCCGTGGACGACGTAGACATACTTACATGTGCATATATTGCGTCACAAAGATTGATTGAAATTGTTTTGTGTTAGATACTATCATGAGATTCACAGCAGCATTTTGATTGCAACTCAATTCAGGCCGAAATTCTCTCAGAAGTCCAGTATATATTATATTGATGGCCACAAATTGCGGGCTTTTCACATAAATTGCCATTTGCGAACATGATTGTAATGTAATTCTAAATTTTATTAGTTATGACTTTCATGTGTGACAAGTTCACTCAACTGGAATCCTCTTCACCTTTCAATAGTTTGACAACCTACTTCGCTGAAGTACTATCACGCTTCTTCTAATGCAGGTTTTTCATGACTAGCTGACCATCCATATAGTTTGAATGGATTACTTACCGAAGACTACTGACTGGTGGAGCTGACGAAAGTGGTAAAGGCTAGCAGGTTTTCAGCTTTCATCACGTAAAGCAAACGTGAGGACCGAATTTGGTTAGAGGTCCAATTTCTAAATCTAAACACTGAGAAACCTTATCTTGCTTTCCTGTCATGCAACTTTTCTTGCAATCTTCTGTGGGTGGTGAAGGAGTTAGTACTGATTCTAGGATTCTTTGCAACAACTTTTTCTACTCACAAAAGCTTTTAGCTCTGCAAAACTGCTAGTTGTAGATTAAATGGGGGTGGTTTTGTTGGCAATATTGCGAGGTCGTAGAACAGAAATTCTTCTGCCGCAGTTGGTCATTCAGCTAGGCAAAACTACCCAATTGCAGAGCAGATATGCTTCTGGTGTGGCCGGTCACTCAGGTTAGCAAAACTACCCAATTGCAGAGCAGACATGCTTCTGGTGTGGCCGGTCATTCAGGTTGACAAAACTACCCAATTGCAGTGCAGATATGCTTCTGGTGTGCGTGGTCATTCAGCTTGTCAAAACTGAGCAGTTGCAGAAAAAAAATGCTGTGGGTGTGGATGATCATTCAGGTGGGCAGTTGCAAAGCTGAAATGCTTTTGGTGTGGGTGGTCATTCAGGTCTTCAAAACTGGCTAGTTGCAGAGCATAAATGCTTTTGGTGTTGCTGGTCAACATACCAGCCACACCAAAAGCATTTCTAGCAAGGTTGTACCAACCTTGGATTGATGAGTGCAAGAGACTATTTAAAAGGGTACATTGCGAACACCTCTAGCTGTGTCTCATTTGAGTTATTTCGACAGATGCTGGCAGATGACCACAGGGAGTTATTACACATCGGAACTATTTTTGAAAAAGATGGAGGTCTGTGTTACAGGTGGTACAGGTTACATTGCGTCCTGCATCATCCGCAAGCTCCTGGAGAAAGGATATAAAGTTCGAACTACAGTCCGCAATACAAGTAAACCTCATTCTCACAAATGGTTATCTGTTTAATGAAAGTCGAATTGCTCCTCAGGTTTTTGCTAGTGCACTCCGTTTTTCAACTTCACATGTTGTCCCTCTTCGTTTCCTCAACTATTTTCGTTTACTCAAGTCTGCACACATACAGACAAGCAGTTACATTTTCCAGTCATAGTAACCTCCGTGATACCCTGGATCTTATGTACAAGATATACATATCAGGCCTCAGTGCACCTCTGTCAAGGCTTGCTCTTTTGCTTTTGAACAAGAATATAGCTGGCTTTAAGTGCTGGCCTTGTCCTGCTGCCATCATGATTGATACATCAAGAAAAAAACTTCGTGATGATTCTCTTTGTATTCAGTAGCTGATGTTTTTCTAAATCACAAGTACTAGAGACCTGATCCGTTGATGCATTGATGCATCATCTGGATGGATTTCTGTCAAGAGGCAAATAGCATAATTTGGGACTGTTTAAGGAGAAGTTGAGGAAATGGGGAAGGACAATATCTGGAGTTCAATATTGGGGATGTACGAACAGAATCCTTCAGATCTTCTTTTTATGCAAGCGGTGGTAATTTCCATCGATATTTAGAACAGTGCTTGTTGCTTCCTTTCATGAGCATTACTGGCGGAAAAATCACTCCAAATCTGATCCGTTCTGTCTAGAATTTGGACTTTCGGTCGTGTAAATCAGGCTTTCTTTTAATCCTCGCGGCTTGTGATATTGGAACTGAACAAAGATGGTGTTGAGTCCCGAGAACAAGCCTTCCTTTCCATCATAATGAGCCTGTTGGTAGAATTGGACTTCAAATAATCTCGATGGTGATTTTATGACCTTAAACTAGACTTTTCAAGTTTCAAGATTTTGAGACATGAATCGATCACTTGAAGAGTAGATACCAATTTTTATTTCAAGTTTTCCATCTCCTTCCGTATATGACTCGGATTTCACAATAGAAGTCCCTTAAAACTGAAATGGCAATATCACATTTGTTCTTTTTCTTTCACACTGGTATTTGTACATCAAGTATTTTTTCCTCCGTGGAATGGTTTATAATGTTAGATTCAGACATGCAAAGTCCTAGATACTTATCACGGTGTTCAACACATATAATTTGAACTAACTCTTGAACTTCCGTGGTGTTAAATGATTCGATGGACGCCCATATTCTGCGTTTCGCTGGTGTGCATCACCCCTGGATAATGGACCTGATGCAATGTCTAGAAGACAAGAAGAGGCTGAACGTTCTCCTGAACTTTCCTGGAGCTGAAGAAAGGCTAACCATAATGCGAGCCGACCTCATGGAAGAAGGATCTTTCGACGAAGCACTGAAAGGCGTGCAGGGTGTCTTCCATTGTGCATGTCCTGTACTTCCACCAAATGAAAGTGGGACTGACCCAGAGGTATGACCCTCTAAGAACCCTGAACCTTCGCTTGCTTCAGTAACAAAGTATAACATCTACTACATTTGCTTCGATCTCGAATCTTAGGCTTGAGAGTGACCTTTCAGGACAGGTCGATAGAAGCAGTCTGACCATGCTGTACTTTCTGTTGAAAATCGTATCAATCTGTAGTTGACTATGGTAGATCCCAGCGTGAAGGGGACATTGAATGTGCTGGGAGCTTGTGTGAGGTCATCAACAGTCGAAAGAGTTGTAATGACATCTTCATGTTCTGCCGTCCGCTATGACTACAATCGATCTGACCATGATGAGCCTCTTGATGAGACTTGCTGGTCAAATCCAGACTACTGCAGAGATCAACAGGTGTTTTCGTATTCCATTCCTTTAAACACTATCTCTTACCAAATATTCTCGTTATACAACTTTGTCCTACAAGGTTTCATCGTGTGCTGTCACCCGGTGGTTCTGGAGTTTATGGAATCAGCTCTTTTTTACCTTTTCCCTCCAGACTATCGATTAGGAGTAGTAAGATTTCCATTTGATGGTTTTGTCTAGAGGAACTTGCAAAGTCGAGTAGTTTGTGATGGATAACGGGGTTTATGGCTCACATGAGGGTGTCCAGATGTGGTATGCACTTGCAAAAACATTGGCTGAGAAGGAGGCTTGGAAGTTTGCGAAAGAGCACAACCTTGACCTGGTGGTGGTGAATCCATCGTACGTCATTGGTCGATTCCCGACTCCAGTTCCTTCGAGCACTGTTCTCTACATCCTCTATCTTGTTCAAGGTATATGTACTGAACATGCTTATGCATACTTCAGTTTCTACGCAGCAGACTCCCTATCAGGATTTTCATTCTACACAGTACATATGGTGGCAACATTCTTACGGAGCATGTAACTAATGCATGCAGGAAGGACTGAAATATATCCGAATCAGATCATTGGATTTGTCCATATCGATGATGTCGTTTCTGCACATATCCTTGTTTACGAAAAGTCCGAAGCATGTGGGCGATACATTTGCTCATCATTGACAGCTCACTGGCGGGAAATTTTGTCTGCTATTCGAAAAAAGTTTCCTCATCTCCTTCTACCTTCGAGGTAACCAATCCTCTTTCATTCCTCATTGTAGATTGTAGATGCGGTGAAGATGAATTAGTTTGAGTTATGCAGTGAGGAGAGGTTTCTGTGTAAATGAATTTCAGATGTCCCGAGCAGGGACCGCTCGTTGTACACTGACCGATGAGCAACAAGAGAATCTGCTGACTAGTTCACAAGATTCACTGATGTAGAAGAATTATTTGCGTGTTGTTTTGATGATTTGTACAAGGGACTGATGTTGTGCTGTGGCTCGTACTTACGAGGGTGGTAATGACATATGTGGAACCAGATGTAAGGAGGGTAACGCAGAACTGATACCCCACACCATGACGAGCAACAAGATTACACAACTTGGTCTGAAGGGCTTCAAGAGTTTAGACCAAATGCTTAATGATGCACTAGATGACTTTGCAGAAAAAGGACTCCTTCCTCTGGATCATGAAATAATGGCTAATTTGGTGGTTGATGACAGCCAAAGCATCAATGAGAACCCCCACTAAGGACATTCTCAACCTGTTCTATCTATAATCTGACATCATCTTCCTCCATAATTCTGGAATAAATCTATTCTGGACACCCGTAGAGAGATGCGAAAAGGTCTTTAGCAGGAAAAGTTCAAGATCTTACGAGAAGATCATCTGTTCCGGAGCTTTCGCCCTCCTCATTAATTGTATCGAAGTCACGTGCATGTTGCACGAGTCGCAGTAGATCCGTCTTCAACTTTCCGAGTGAGATGGGTTTCAAGAGAATACTATCCATTCCTGTCTCGAAACATTTTTCTCTTGTCCTGGTGTCTGCGTTGGCTGTCAAGGCTGAGATCAGAGGACGTTTCTTGTTCCCGTATGTCTTGATAATTTCTTCCGCCACCATGAATCCGTCCATCTGATTGCATTTGCAGTTAGAAGAGAATTACGACATGAGGATTAGGATACATGCAGATAATAATCTTACATCGTTCGCCTCTCTCACACATGTATCTACTACTGTGGCAAGAAGTAGATACTCTATTTAAAGATCAGTGCACTACTGTATTTGAACAGCAGAGATCAGAGACGTAATGACATTGTCCGGAAAGTTAGAAAGAGAAAAACAGGCAAAGGTAATATATCGGATATCAGGATTCATCAGAATGATCATATTCCTATGTGTGTTTCGTGTCTTTAATGCGTTCATGTGATAATCACGATCATATAATATTTACTCTGCTCCAACATGTGTTCTGCTTCAAGGCCTGATGTTATCTTGAGACTGCAGTGAAGGTAGGTGTTATGAAGAAGTGCTTATCACAGAGTGGAAGAGGATATGATGGTATAGTAAACTTTCAGGAGGTAGTCAAAGTATATTCAATGCCGAACGATGTGTAACATATCGAGATTGTCTGCCTACCACTCAAATGTATACCAAATTAAGTCCCGTGGCATCGTTTTAATCGGTCGTTCCGTTTTACTACAATCAAATACAAGAAGAATTCACTCAACTAAAAGATAATCCTAACAATCTTGAGAAAGAACCGTATGTGGATAATTACCTCTGGCATACACAAGTCAAGGAGAACAATATCGAAACCTGAAGGTCCCACCTCTGCCAGCTTTTGAATACACTCTGGACCAGATTCCAACACAGTTGCTTCACACCCAAGTGTTCGCAATAACTTACTTGTTACCATTCTATTAATTGCGTTGTCGTCCACAACAAGTACCTGAATTTGGGAACTCAGTATATGAGGTTTTATATCAAAGTTTAAATGAAGCAATTTCAACTCAATTCAATACCCTCATTTTTGTGGTCACCCAACTTACTCTAAGTGAGACGATCAAACGTTTCAATTAAATTGGAGCAACTTATACGTCGGATTATACACTTACAATACCAAAGAAGAATTATTCATCTAGCTGGAAGTTCTTCAAAAGTATGAAATGCCGGAGGGCTTGGGACCATCCATTCAAGTGTCGTTGAATTCTGTTCAACAGCTTTGAGATTGATTTCAGATCCCACCTTGATTCCAATCAGACTTCCTTCTTGAACAGATTGCCGTCTTGGTGAATTTGATTCTTCGAGTTCATCAGAGATCACACCCACACATAAACTAAACGTGCACATGCTCCCCTTTCCGATCCCTTCGCTGTTTATAGCGATGGTTCCACGCATCAGCTGCAGGGTATTTCACTTCATCAAACTCTATGTTTCGCTGTAAATTTAAATTTAGGCGGAACTCAACTGAACCCACCAGCTTCCGTTCACCCAACACAGTGAATACTAACCTCAACAAATTTCTTACAAATTGCTAGACCAAGTCCAGTTCCACCAAATTTTCGAGTCGTGCTACTGTCGGCTTGAACAAATTTATTGAACAGAAGCCCAACATTTTCGGGACTGATCCCAACTCCTGTATCTTCAACTTTGACGTGGAGATATCTATATTTGAGCTTTAGAGATCTTCTTTTTGTTGGGGTTGGAGCCTGCTCTAGTCCGGTCGGCTGAACATCCACAGGCTCGCCCATATGGACAGTGACATGCACATAACCAGAGGATGTAAACTTTATGGCGTTTCCAATCTGCTTCAAACATGAATGATGCGTAAGGCTATGTGTTGGATCATGACAGATGGTGCTCAAATAGAGCGAAATCTCGTTTGCTTTCAGCCCCCAATCCTAGCACTTCAAAGAGAATAGCTTGTATACTGTATCCGACTGAGAGCTGTCAACGTGAAATCGAGCTGAAGTTATTTCAAATTGTCAGAGACTGCAAGTCTTCTTCTAGATGGAGACATTGCAATATCTTACCACATTCAAAAGTATTTGGAGGATACGTTTGCTATCTCCAAGTATCTTTTCGGGCACATCTTTAAGTTTCCACTCAAATCCAATCTGTTTATTAGTAGCCATAGGTCTCAAGATATTCTCTGCTTCTTTGAATAATGATGTAAGTTCAAACGGAGTTGGATCCAGTGTCAGCTTTCCAACTTCTAGCTTGGAGAAGTCAAGAACGTCGTCGATTAGAGTCTGGAGGAGGCCGCTACTTTTATTCATCGTCTCCACCATCGCTCTCTGATCAGGTGTCAGACCAGATTCCAACAGTAGAGAAGCCAACGCTATGATAGCGTGCATAGGTGTCCGCATTTCATGATTCATGACCGCAAGGAACTCATTTCGTGCAGCCATGGCTTGCTCAACCTCTTGGCGAGCTTCCTGAAGCTGTGCATTCTGAACCATGAGCTGGTCCCTTGCCCGCATAGACTCCTCTACAACTGTGGCATGAGAAAGGGCAACGGCCACCTGTAATGGTTACTGATGTATAAGGTGTGATTCAGCAGCATAGTATATCAAATGTAAAGCTAAGACAGCAAAAAACCAGCATATCAGGGCAACCACGAACATAAGAAGGATGAGTTTTCTAAGGACGATAATTATATCACAGAACACTAATTTATCTGGTATCCACTCTATCCTACATTCTGTCCCGTCCCTCAAGGAACACTTTTGCAATCTATGATTGATAGTTCTGATATTTTGAACTCTCTTGCATTAGTTGATACAAGTAGAATGTCTTCTAAATGTATCACCTCGAGTGAGTGATGTTACTAATCTACTAGAGTAGTCATTACTCGCTACCACTTCCCTCACAGTCAAGTGGGAATTGAGAAGTTCCACTCAGATGAGACTGTAGAAACCACTCACACTATAATTCGGACCAACTAAAATATCAATTACAGTGCTCACTCCACCAGCACTTCTCAGCGTTGAAACGTGTGATGAATACCTCAGCAAACGTACTCTGTATTGTGTTCTAGCCATCCATATATACAAAGTTCATGGTTCTCACTTCAAGTCTCAACTCAAGACCTAACCTTTAGATGGGTGATAGCTGCTAAACCGTACTCAAACCCTGAAAGAAATGACTAGATCCCTGCATAAAAAATTAGTACTAAATTTTTCTAGTTACAATTACTCTTTTACAGGTTAATCCAGAAAGAAACTGACTCCGAGATTAAAAACAACATCGCATAGTAAACAATTAAACAACATTAAACTATTAAACAAGAGAAAGGTTTATATCCCGCCTTAGAAGTACGTAAGCGATGTGGTCTAAGTAAGCGATGCGGTCAATTAATGGCACTATTTCTCCTTTCAGAATCTGCTCCCGCTGCTGGATGCCTTAAGAGCATTACTGATTGGATCTTTGGAATACCTGGTCAACGACGGAGTTCAGAAGGTCCATTTCGCTGTTACCCCACAGTCTGTCCTCGTTTTTTGGGAGAGCGAGAACCATCAAGGAAAGTGCCCCGTCAGCACCTGTGGTCACAACGTCGACGTTGCCAGTCTGGTTGAAGTCGGTAGTATGTAGCAAGGGGAGTCTGACAGCAGCTACATGTCCTTCAGGCATTTCCTCGTCCGATGCCATATGCACGGTGAGTTTTGCAAGCGGACAGTCACTTGGAATGACCAAAGCACCGGAGCTGTTGAAAACCTGTCACGAGGCAAACCCAGGGTGCTAAATAGACGATGTCAACAAGACGATTGAATGCGCTGGGTACATCAATATCTTATGAAATATTATTTGTACACAGGAATAACTTACGCACTTGTAGTCATCTACAGAGTATCCAACAATCGAAAACTACCAAACGTGGACGACGGCTACGACGGATTAAGTCAAATTTGAGAATTACAAGTGGAGAGGAAGAACTTGATACACACTTTCTGAACTATTTCATCGCTCATCGGGACCGAGAGTGGAAATGCTATAGCATGAGTTTCGACCGAATAAGTAAGCTCCACGCTTTTCTCTGACAGGTTGGGCATCCATATGCCACAGCTCGTCAACTGAAGAGTTCTGGCCGTTTCTACGAGCGTAGTATGAAGTATGGTATGCCGATCGAGAGTACTCCGAATTTCAAGAGTTAACAGCCGTACATGCCTTCCAATTTCCTCTTGTTTCTTGATCTTCCCCACTTCTTTGCCCAATTCTGCAGCCTACAGCCGAGGAACACAACATCAGCTCACTCCTTTGAAGACTCCATCTGACGCTGCGAACGTAGCGTCTACATCTTCCGAAACCTTATCTGCATACCTCACCGACTCTGCGAAGCTCATGAACATACTGCAAGCATTACATGTTTTGACTGCGCAGATTGAATGGGTGTGACTCTGCACAGAAAACGTACAACAACGATGTCCACAATAATTGAAAGTTTCTACGAACAGAGTGAACAAACGCTTGATAACAAGGATAAAAATTCGGAAACAGATATCCCGTGACGACAAGGTGAACCATGTTAACGTACCTGAATCGTGAGGAAGATTTCTCTCGTTTTTACAGACAAGAGTTCTGGAATCACTTGAAACAACGTCACCGCAGTGGCACATGATACGACTGCGGTTATACATTTGAAGAACGTCATAGTTCCAAACGAAGCTTTAGAGTTTGCAAGGAAAGTCCAGAGAGTAATTATATGAGTCAGACCACAGAGTATGATAAAGATTCCAAACTCAGCCACCACCAATTTATAAGGGAACATCTGCACAACAAATCATGGTCAGACGCAAGAGATGTCCACCTGTAAAGCATGGAACAGCAAATGGATACACAGTCACTAAGGACGAAAACAAAGCAATGAGAGCACGCACTATCAATTTTTGAGAGACGCTTTAGAGTTCAGGTTTTACCCTCATTTTGTACAGAAAGAATAAGAGCTCCACGGGGATAGAGAAGTACGCCAAGGCAATGAGAACGTCGGCTGAGAGTTGCCACCTTGCCATGTGCGTGTAGCTTCCCCGTTGATGCTTGACTAAACAACCATCACAGGTGTCTGTCACATTCACTAGCAAGCTATCACATTCGTCGGAGCAAATCTTGTACTTGGAAAATGAGACTTCTGTCAGGCCCTCAACAAAGGGAACGGTTACGGGAATGATGATTTTTCCCGTCGAGTTGCTCGCAAGATCTGGTGTGAAATTCAATTTTGCTAGATATTCCCGATACTCCGGGAACGAATATCGTCTGTTTTTGGCATGGACAGCCCTGGAAACGGGCAGTAGGAAGAGCCCCAAAAAAACCGACAGCAACTTGTTTGAGAAGCAATAATGCGTTCTCAGGTCATAGGTGGAAACCATCTTTCGGAAACTGATTCTGCAAGGGTGCTCGTTCCTTCTGCTCTGGATGGAACTGAGCCAGGAACTTGTACAAACCGAAGTATAGAGCAAAAAAGTTGGATCGTCTTCCACCGGCGATGAAGATCTAGCGATGGATATTAGTATATGTACAACTTTGCGACAGATAGCTGCGACGTTAACGTCTGTATCCTGCATTCACGGACGCATGCAACACAGAGGCATTTCCCTTGCAGACGAACTCCATGAAGTGCTCATGAAAAGCAGGATTCTGCACAAAGAACTCAAAAATTCCAACCTTCCATCCATCCAGGCTGGACGCGAAGTCACTGTATTACCTTCAGGAGCACACACAAATACTGCCTTCAAGATCTTTGTCTTCTCTCGTCCATAATAATCATACGGTGGGCACCGAGCGAATTATGTCACAATTATTGACAATGGTACACAATTTTTGGCTCGTGGGTATTGTATTCTGAAACCTGTCGAGGAGGCGTCAGAACAATCGAGCTTCCAAAATAACCAAACGAGCTTCGAGTCGAACTAGGGCAAGTGTAATCATTAATACTCCGAAGAATCAAACATCAAAACGCAGCATCTGCTGCACATCTGATTCCCGCCTTCTTAGGGCTATGAACCTCAAATAAAAATCGACAACCTCTTGTTGACTGCGGGGCTTTTCAGTACTGCAGACTAGACCCAGAAACGGACAATCGGAAATCTGAATCCACGAGCGAGCAGACCGTGCACCAAACCAGCTCTGAAATCCATTAGCTTGATCCAGCATCGGATCGACTTTGTCTTCTAATTTGAATTCAGAGCATTCGGGTGCATAGCGATACGTTCAATGACGAACTACTTTCACACAATTGGCCTGAATTTCTGCTTCAGCTTCTCTCCTCAAACAGCTGGCGCCTGAAATGTATGGTGCTGAGAATGTTGGGCCGGTTATGTCGAGCGCTGCTCTGGTCAAACATGTCACAACAACTTTGAGGCCATGTGCGGCTGTGACTACAGTCCCCATCGGGCAGATTGATACTCTCGCCGAAAGAACCTCCACAAACCATGACCTTCGTTTGGGGCATTAAGCTATACTGGTGCTGGACCAGCATACCTCCCGAAGCCTGATAAATTCCACCACTATGTCACTGCCATGCTACCAAGGCAATGTGGGACACCCGCGGAAATAGTTTGCATCGATCTAACGGAAACAACAAAAAGACTTCCGCGATCGCCTCTTCAGTCTAGCTTCACAACCCCCTGCTCGACACCTGCGTGAACACAGCAACGCCATCCTTCGCTTTGATCGGCAAAGTAGGAGGATCTCAGGCTCGAGGGAGATGAGGTCCCGGTCGAGACGGCCTGCTAAGGGAAAGCTCGCGGAATTGGCCGTCCTCGACCAATCGGAGAACCCTCTCGGGAACACTGTACTAATGGAATGCCAGAACCGAAACTGTATGTTATCCAGCGTCCGTCTTCCCCTCGAGAACTGGTTCACATTGGTACAGAAGAAGAAGAAGAAAAAGAAGAAGAAGTTTAACGAGTTCGTAACAAATGTCTCGAACCATCCTCGATGAACGGCCGGTGGAGATCCGAGAATCGCTTCCTCTCAACTGCTTTCACACTCCAGAGACCGATCCGCGATCGATGTGAAGGAGGTACTCTCTCCACGCTCTCGACGGCCGAGTAAAATTCCAGGACGGCGATTTCATCACCCCCCAGCGTCGAATTTGTCTCCGACAAGGAACGCAGGTGTCAGAACTCGGCCTGAACGGCCCTGAAGCATATCGGACACAAACCCGATCTCGTGAAAATATCAGGTTCTTGTCCTCGCGGACTAACAGCTTCATAAAAACCAGCACCGAAAAATCATACTCTCCGCAAAATGTGCATCGGAGTTCGGGTGCAGAGCTGAACCGAGATGAAAGTACTTCATATCGAGCGGAGTGAAAAAGGGGCTTCAAGTTCACCTGTCCCGAATTGGGGAAATTCGATCGATCGCAGTGTGCAGGACGCAGCTTCGGCGTCGGGCTGATCGAGGTCCAAATCAATCGATCGTCGGAAGCTGCACGGAGGCAGAGACAAACCTCTTCACCGAAGGCTCTCTTGTACTCGGGGAAAACGGGTCGAGGGGCGACGAGTTTTCGGCGAGTAGACGAGGTCCTTGGGTGAAAAGCTTCGGAGGTCCCGACCCCAAAATGGTGAAGCCACGCTCCTCGAGGAATCATACAAGCTATTCACACAGATCAAACATTTACAACTTTCTTTCCTGCTCTATTTTGCGACTGAGACTTGCCGCTGGGCTTTCTTTTCTGTTCCGTTGGCTCCATGAACAATCTGGATCGGTACCAGCCCTTGGAGATGGGCGCCATCACCGACAGGACCTCCTCGTCGGAGAGGCGGCTGATCACACTGGGCGAGCCGTATCGGAACTTCCACTTGCCGCTGGGTTTTCTTCTGGGCTCCCCCGAATCCAACGACACCACGGATCGGTACGAGCCTCCTCGGGAAAGCGGTCCCACTACCGACAGCACCTCGTCGTCGCTCAGGCACTTCCTACTGCACCCCGCGCGAGACATGTCGCCCCGTCCGCAGACCTCTCCTGCGTCTGCGATCTCGATCGGTTCCCGGTCACAGAAATCTCCACAATCCGGCACCGCTCACATCACTGACTCGCAGCACGGGCCCAATCTGGCAACTTGCTCTGGTCGCACGAGGATCGGCTGTTGGCCTTCGTCTTGGTCGACGTCTTCTTCTTCTTCTTCGTCCCCTTCTTCCTCTTCTTCTTCCTTTTCTTCGTCCCCTTCTTCTTCTCGTTCCAGATTGACAGTCCACCTCTTGCCAGGATGAAATTCGTCGATTCGGATGGGCAGGGGAGGGCGGGGCGGGCGGATCGATCCCTCGGACAGTGAGCTGCGCGGTGCAGGCGGGTGCACTTGTAGGTGCTGGGCCTCGTCGTCCCGGGGACCCTTCTGCGAGCCCGCCATGATCGCATCGAGGGCGCAAGCTCCGGGGGCCTGGACCTGCATCATCCCTCTGCACAGTATCGGCCAACGCGTCGAGTTCAGAGGATGCGGTGCGTCAGCAGATCTACTTCCTCCCTCCTGCGCATCCGATTCTCATTCCGGACGACCCTCCGCCCCTCGTCTCCATGCTTTCAAGCAAAACCAGCGCATCAGACGTCGAAACTCGCCCCAATTTGACACGGAACCTCCGTCTGTGATTATATTCGTCAACCGCCAGAGGAGCGCTGTCGGCTGCTGCGAGCCTGACGGACGGACGGTGAGATGGCACCGAGCTGTCGATGCAAATGCCAGGAAGAGAAGACGCAAGCGACTGTTCTCTCGGCCCACGGAAAAACAATTCTTTACCCACCAGATCTTGGATCCGTCTGGGCATGCCAATCGAGCCCTTCCTCATTTTGGGGGCACAAATTCTGCGGAGTCTCCGCGCTACCTCCCCACTCCGCAATCCCCTGCCATGAATTTCGACAAACGCGGCAAACTTGAACAATTCAAAACCGGCCGGAAACCTGCACCCTTTCTTTCGTGGTGCGTGAAATCGAAGCATGGATGTGCAGTAGACGCACACCTCTTGCCAAATGCATCGCTGTCGTGAAGTCAGTGCCAAGAACCAACGAGAGATTGGGTGCTTTGCTGCTGTACGAGAAGTTTGGCACCTCCGCAAAGAACTGTGACTGGAATTTTATTTCCTCTTAGATTGTTGAAGACGAGGACGAGGACGAGGACGAGGAGGGCTGTATTTATTCCTCTCTTGTTTTTAGTGAGATGAGGTGCTCGAGACACGTCCCTCTGTGTTCTGAGGTATATTCCAAATATGGCGCTCTCGATCTCAGAGTTCAAGAGGATCGTGACTACGAGCTAATGGCCTCGGGCGAAGAAGTTGAAGGTGCATCGAACACTTGAGCATGCTTCTAAATGTCCGGTGGCACCAAATCATTCGAAAATGGCACCCTCGAAAGCTTTAAGGAGACGTGAGGCCCCGAGGTCCCCTTGAGCTCACGAGTTCAAGGGGCAGGCGACGTCACCAAACTCGCGAACGAGGGTAGCGCAGTGCAGTCAGTGTGCAGAGTCCTACGAGTCCAATCCTCCGAAAGAGTTTCGATGACGACGGCCTTTGCCCGAGGTTTGGAGTCCGGATATTCGTGACTGGAATCCACCCGTCGGATTTCTTCTCGCGTGCACCTGGCGGGACGAAATCGCAGCCCCGCAGGGTTGGCCGGGAGGAAGCACATTGCTCTCGCTCGGCTCTCTCTGTCTCGCTGTTCTATGGGCGGGGTCGGGCGAAATCAGGGATGCCATGAACGGCTGCAGCTCGTCGGGAGATCAAGAAAGCTGTCTCGTTTCCACCTCGAGAAGTACAGTGGCTCCGAGAACCCTTCACCTCCCGAGGAAGTGGGCCTCGTGCGCCGATTTCGAATGCTGTACAGCGTAGTCAGCACCGCGGACACTGAGTTGCTGTGAAATGTCAGAAGCCTTGATCCCGCAAGCGTCGTCGTCGTCGTCGTTCTCGAGGGTAGGAAACTTTGGCTTGAACACGGTGCGCACGGCACCTTGCAGGAGGAGCTCCACCACCAGCGCTAGAATAGCCCTGTGTTGGTTCGAGCTCTGTTCTGTCGAGGCGAATTAGGTCTGACGGTCTCGCGACGTGATTTCGGTCTTCAGACGAGCGCACGGTATCGAAGGGAGGAAGGGAAGGGAAGGAGGACGATCACGATGACGAGCACGAAGGTGTTCGAGTGTTGTCGCCGTTGCAGATGGTGAGTTGAGATTGACTGAACATGCGCGTCGGCATTGGCGGAAGCTGTGATCTAGTTTGAGGACAAGCGCGGGGAGAGATGGATATCAAGTCCGTGGTACCATCGCAGTTGATTTCCGAGAGGGGGTCGGACGTCGTGGTGATCAATTTCGGATCTGCGAATTTACGAGTGGGCATCGCAACGCAGCAGACGCCCGTCGTCGTACCTCACTGCATCGCGCACCATCTTCTGGTCAAGGAACAAGGCATCGATGGCGAAGAGGCGAGGGCCAAGGGGGCTGTGGGCGAGCGACTCGAGGCTCCCCCTGCAGCAGCCAGGAGACCCGAGCGCGATGAAATTTGTCAAATGGTTGAGTTGCAACTCAAGATGAAACCCCTAAACCCTGACTTCGAAGCTCTGTCGAAGGATGATGGACTGAGGTCGAGGAGTATTGAAGTGGACGACGATAAATTCTTCCACTGGACGCAAGTGATGGGCGAGGAGTCGGACGATGAAGTCGACGGACCACTCGCCTCGACGAAAGCTTCGCCCGCAACAACAAATGTGGTCAAAGACGAGTCCGAAAGCTCTTCTCTGGCTTCAGAAGAGAAGGGTGAAGGCGAAAATGGTCAGGAATTGGAGGAGGACAAGTCGGTGAAAGCTGAGGAAGACGAGGAAGAAGTTGAAGACGAGGAAGAAGAGGAAGACGAGGAGGAAGTTGAAGACGAGGAAGAAGAATTAGAAGAAAAGCGTGACATTGTGGAGCAACCGGTTCCCGACGAGAATGACGATTCGGTCAAGGAGTCCCCCGACGATAAAGAAATCCCCGACGACGTCCCGGCAGAAATTGCTGCTTCAGAAAAGGGGAGCCAGGAAGGATCCGACTCAGGCATCCATGTCGAGGTCAGACTGACAGCAGACGAGCCAATGCTCGATTCCGCGACTTGCGAAAATCGCATCGCCAGCGAGAAAAAGCCCAAGTACCGAAGATTCATTTGCGGGGAAGAAGCTCTGAGAATCCCTGCGACCGAGCCCTACGTTTTGCGGAGGCCCATCTGCCGAGGTCGCTTCAACATCTGCCCTCGCTACTCTCTGCAGCAGGTGTTGGACGACATGTTCTTCATATGGAACTGGGTTCTTACGGAGAAGCTGTCGCTGGATGCTGAAACCAGGCAGCAATTCTCAGTGGTGTTGGTCATTCCGGACACCTTGGACAACCGAGAGATCAAGGAGCTGCTCACGATTGTGCTCAAGGATTTGAAATTCCGTGCAGCTGTAATCCATCAGGAATGCGTGACCGCGACCTTCGGCAACGGAATTTCATCCGCCTGCGTTGTGAACATGGGTGCCCAAATCACATCGATCGTCTGCATCGAGGACGGCGTGGCTCTGCCCTCGACTCGGATAGTTCTCCCTTTCGGGGGCGAGGACATATCCCGCTGTCTCCTCTGGGTGCAACGACGGTGGCAGACCTGGCCCCGCATCGACACCGACCCCTTGCACGACTCCCTGGATCTTCAAATGCTCGAGCGCATCAAAGAAGAGAGGTGCGTGATCGTGGAGGGCGAGCAGCAGGCGGTGGTGGACATTTACTATCGACAAGCAGGCCATCCGACTCGTGCGTACAAGGCATATCTGAAGGCTTTGTGCGTGCCCGTGATGGGGCTCTTCTACCCAACTCTCCTCGCACCGGAGGAGTATCCGAGCTTGCGGCCCTGGTTCTATGTGGACCACGAGGACGTGCTCGATGATTCGTTCCATGCCGAAACATTCAAGAGGCCTGAAGCTGTGGAATCAGCCCCCGTTGTATTTGGAAACAACGGTGGCGGGCTGGCGATGGCGTCCAAGCCGGATTTTCCCATGGAGGATGTGGACGGTAAGGCTGCACTGAGGACGGACGAGCCTTCTCATGGCCTCGCGCAGGCTGTGGTCATCAGCATTCTCTCGACCGGTCGAGCAGACATTCAGAAGAAACTGTTCGCCAGCATCCAGCTCGTGGGCGGAGTGGCACTCACCAGGGGCTTGGTCGACGCGGTGGAGGAAAGAGTTTTACACGGCATCCCGGCCCACGAAGCTGTCGACACCGTCGCAGTGCTTCAGAATCGTACAGACGCACCTCTGACGTGCTGGAAGGGCGGAGCGGTGCTAGGAATTCTAGATTTTCAGAGGGAGGCTTGGGTTCAGTCCGACGAGTGGATCACAGGCGGTGTACGCATAGGCAGTGGTAGAAAGTACAGAGACTCCGTCACTCTGCAGTCCCAAGCGTTTTGGTACGGTACGAATCCAGAATGAGCCTGCGAGGCAGTTAGGATCCGCTTTTCCTTAGAGAGTAAAGTTTTGTCACTGAAGGTATCCATCAGTCAAACGCCATTGTAGAACTGGAAGCCTAGGTTAGATGCACATGGTACGATTTCTGGAAGGATACCTTGTCAATATGTAAAGGAATCAACTTGAGACAGGAAATCAGTCTACTCAATCCATTGTTGTGTCTCATGTTTTGGTGTTCCCGTCTCTTCCAACAGCCCATCTTGTATTATGGAGCACTGTGGTCCAGGTTCTGTTATTTTCCATGTGGTCGCCACAGTCAACGGTCACTGTCATCAGGACAGCTCGACGCTGGCGCAGAGAGAGAGAGAGAGAGCTGTCCTGATGACAGCGATCTCTGTTCGCCACTTTCGAGTTGATTGTGGGGACGGGTGGCCCATGATGGGTTTGGACTAGTGCAATGTCCTTTTCGATTTCCAAGTCACTCACGTGTTATCTGTAGCAACAAATATTCCGACATCAATAGATCTCCCAGAGTTTCATCTGGTGTGTCATAGTGCACGGAAGATAACATTGGAAACAGTTCATTGTATTCTGTTTAGATTTTCACGTGCAACTCAGGGTTTACTGGCACCCAGAAAGGTTTTAGATTGTGGGCATCTTCTACGCAGGCGTTCCAGGTAGGGTAAATCAACGCAATGTAGAGACTAAGTAGTTTTGCCTTCCGCCGATTTGATGAGTTCAGCTGGAGTAATTCGAGGTGAATGAATTTATCGTATTGAGGGATCTACGGCGCTTCTCATGCAACTGGAGCGGATTCGATTATACAGGATCGTAGGAACTTGGAAAGGACTCTGTTCTGCTTGTAGAAATAGATCGACAGTGCGTTCACTATGTCGAGTTTCGCTTGCAGTGGTTCTTCTTCATTTGATTTAGAATATGCCATTTAAAGCATACGCGGTTGGTTTATGCATGCGGCGCTCATCGGGTGATATGATACGTCAAAATTGCACATTTTCGATTAGCTTGTTTGAAAAATGTTTTGAATCATGCCTCGAGGTGCAGTGGCAGCTGCCTCTTCTAACCTTGCAACTTCCTGTGCACTTAAACGCCAATTGAGAGCTCCTAGATTATCCCTGGCTTGGCTCAGGCTCTTGACTCCGGGTATAGGAACAGCACCTTTGCAGATACACCAGTTGATGGCCACCTGCAAACACCACACACGTTTTAGAACAACTCGAAGTCGAAGGGAGCAGTGAAAGAAAGAACTGATCTCCTTCCGCTTCAGAGTGGGTGACTTGCATCTCAATTGCAGTACATACCTGTGAAACCGACTTGTTCCTCCTCTTTGCGATAGATGCCAGCACTGATTGTAAGTTCTCTAAGCCAGGTAAAATTTGTTTGAAAAGTGCACCCCTGCATCCAACAATTTGAGTCCAGGAAGTCAGGGAGAAGTCTTCTCGCGCTCCAAAACCCGAGATACTTGAAATAGGAAGGAAATTGAAAAGTGCTGCAATTACCTCGGTCCCGATGGTACATTTGAGGCGGAGTACTTTCCCGTGAGCATTCCTAGTCCCAGTGGACTGTAGGCTATGAGCTTAATGCCGAGATCATCACAAATTGCTTTCACTTCTTTCTGATCTGGTCCATAGCTGATGAGCGAAAATTGAATCTGCGTTTTGCATTTTCCACACGTTATCTTCTTTCTTCCGACCAAAATATGATTGAAGGTGTGACATGTGCGATATTTCTCTCAGTCGTATCGCATTTGACGCCTTGAAACTTTCGTTTCCGAGACGAATTCACACGGTTCACAAAATCATCAAGGTCTAGAATGTACTTTCACTACCTGGACGGCACTCAGAGGAACACCCTTCTTCTCCAGATAGCTGTGCACTCGAGTCAGCTGTTTGGGCCCGTAGTTGCTCACGCCAACAGCTTTCACTAGACCCTGTACAAGCGGATCACCTCTTCAGTCCTTGGCCACCATCCCTAGGCCAACGCAGTCAGCTTGCTGGTTCCAAAGCAGTGAACCTGCAATACTGTTTCCTTTATACAGCAATTTTGGAAACAGAGCTACTAGCCGTTGCAAAGTTTCTGACTGCTGGAGTCTCACCTCTTGGTACACTGCCACCAATCCATCCCAAAGGGCGCGCTCCTGGAATGGAGCATAATTTGCAGCAGACCAATGCAGCTGACCTATGCCAAGTTGATCAAGCTGCAACCTTCCTAATGAACCCCTGACAGAATACAGAAAATTGGGATCGTGAACATCTCATGAGTCCCCGACCTGCAGGGAGGTCCAACAGAAGTGCAATGTGTCGTCGTTTCGTAGAGTGCCCATGAGTTGCTGTGGCACGAGACAATCATACACAGCGATGGGGAAGTGTCTAGCGTACTTGCAGGCCTTGACGATCTGTCCAGGTGTCAGTCGCCATGGATACGCAGCGAACTTCGTTGCGATGGCGATGCGATTCTTTTTGCTCTCCGACCCTGCACGGCCGAAATTCAAAAGTGATTTGACAGCGTTTGACCTCCCTACTACGGATCAGGGCCCTCGTAGAGCTGTGCACAGCACCCGACCCACTGTTTGTGTGCACCAAAATGCGTCCTCAGCGCATGATTTCAGGCATCGTCGCGACTAGTTCACGAGAAACTGCATCTCAGACGAGCATGGGCGAATATTTCGTCGCAAACTTTGAACATGTATACAGAGCGTCTCGACTGCGCCACATTCCCTCCTGGCGCATACCGCGGCAGTAAGCAAAGCTTCCACCTCGAGGAGCTCGATCATAAATCAATCAAACGAACCAGCCGCGCAGAGAAAAGGAACTCGTCTAAGGAAGATTTCTGAAACTGTAGTCGATTAAAGAACCGGAAAATCAGATATCTAACATTCACTATGTTGGGATCCAAAGGCCCCGGTTTACTTCAACGCCTGGCTCTGCGACATCGACAAGAATTGGTGATATGCACACCCAGAAATTGCCGAGACAAACGATTTCATAATGGTTTAATATTTGCGATGGTGACCTACCCTGGAAGTCGCGAATGAAGCGGCCCAGGAGGAGCTCACTGCGCCCATTGAGAGTGCCGGTGCCGTAGGAATCAGCGGTGTCGAAGAGGTTCACTCCGCTCTCGACCGCAAGATCAAACACCTGCTGCAGCTCCGCGTCCATGGAAGGCTCGTAATTCCACAACAGCTGATTGCCCCACGCCCACGTCCCAAACCCCATGGGCGCCACAGTCAGAGGCCCCATCTTCACCTGCTGCTGCACCCGCCATCCCCATCGCCCCGCGCACCTCAAACAACCCAGCACATCCACAATTGCCACACAACCACGAACACGACGGCCACACAATCAATCAATCAATCGCTCGAATCGAATCCGAAAAATGACGCGGTTCGCGTACCTGTCGGCCGGGCAGCCGCAGAAGCGACTCGAGCGCAGGTCCCAACGCTCCCGCCATAGCTCCCGAGCTCCGATACTGCTGCCCGTTACTGAGCTCGCTCGAAGCTCAACGCTCGTCGCTCGTCGCTCGTCGCTGTTCTCGGTGCGAGCATGGGACGGAATTTTCGGGTCCGAATTCCGTTCACGAGTTGTCCTCCTCTTGGCTACACGAGCTTGCCAGTCATACATCGAAGATCCGTGCTGGCACGTGACACACCCTCCTCCAGGTGACTCCCACATACAGGACTGTACTCCCGATGACGAGGGATGTGCCCGGTCACGGATGCGTCCGTCGTGGCACCCGCTCGTGATTCTCACGCTGCGTGATCTCGAGGCTTTTCGGAGCTCTGCTTCTGTGAGGTGGCAGCTACGGCTCCACCGCACTTGTGTGATTACTCGCCCCTGAAGAGTGGTGGGATGTCAATGAACCTGTTGATGAAAAAAAAAGAACTTGTAAATCTTTAGATGAGACACTTGTTTCTGACGTGGATGTACAGTACTGGAATTTCTTCTTGATATTGTATTGATTAATCTTCTCTTCTCTAGTTTAAAGGTTTATGCTTTGATATGCCAGGATAAAAAAAAACTTCTATGGTTGTGAAACTTATTTGAGAGACATACATATGCATAAAATAAAATATAAATCTGTATAAATCGTTTATCATGTCCACACGAAATAAAAATAAAATTAATAACAAATTATTTTGTCTTATACAGTATACATTATTTGAAATCTTGCATTCTTGATTCTATAAATTCAAATGTTAACAAATTCTGTACCGAATAAAACTAGATACATAGAAAGTTGTGTTGATTATCCTATGTATTTTTTAACTTCAACCAAATTGTGTGAGCTTTTAATCTAGCAAAATAAATACTTTGAACTTGATGTACATATAGTTTGAACTTAGACTTGCTTGAACGACCAAACTCCAAGCCTGCTGCGCACGGACTCTGCCTCGAGCCAGAGCAACCCCAAATGGCAGACGCATCATCAGGACAGACGACATAGCTGATCAACACCGAACGTGAGTTTTGTTAAAAAGAGAATTCAAAGAAAAGCAGGCACAGAAACAAACTGTCAGACCCATAACCCTTATATGCAAGAGCCAGTGGTGAAGAAGGAAAAAAATTCCAAGTGTGGAAGAAGAAAAGCCCAAAGCCGAAAACTTGCGTTCTACAGAGAGGTGTGCCCCTCCAACACTCTGCAGCTACACACTCGGGGCACCTGAACGTCGGAGTAGGACTGACCTCTATCTACCTTCGACAACTGCCACGACAAACTTGCAGCACATAGTAGTAGATTTTTTGGTTTTTTAAAAATAAATAATATTTTTCTCCATTGGCGAAGACATTATAAGCGTATGAAGGACAATAATAATTCTTTGCTTAAACTTTCATATTTAAGCGGCCCAGGATTTTCGAGTTTCTGTACGGAGCATGCATAGGTCTCCATTAATAGGAAGTAGAAAAATAATTTTCCACTAACAGCAGTATCTCACACTCTATATATTTTTGGTGTGGTTGATATTCTATATTGCTATCACTCCATTGTCAACTATCCATTGGCATTGATAATTACTCAATTTGAAGATATGTTAGGAGTATTATGGATAGCTATATACATGACATCATGTATATAGCTATCCATAATAGTCACTTCGAGGGTTGACCAGAGGGAGATCTGTTTAGCACAATCAAATTTCAGGATTGTGCTAAACAGATCTGAAATTTGATTCAGACTGTATGCATAGAAGGCAGTTTTAAGGCAATTTCGAGCATCACTGACTCAATGACCTGGATATGAAGATGAGTGTTATTTCAGTCTATTTAATGACCTTGTAGGTTTAGCTGAGACCTGGTAAAAGGTGAATTATGGCCGACGCTGATTTGGTTCATGCGTACTTCATTGTCATTTCAGATTTCTGCAGAAAGACTGTCGATAGTTCATAGAGGAAGCCCATGATCGGAACAATCGTACAGAAACAGACTTTGAGATTCAATGACAAAGACTATTCTGTCCTTAGGTTATATTTTGCACAGCAAAAAGTAACCAGCTATGGTGAGGTACCCAGAAGTTTCAATGTCAAAACAGATTTAGTAAAAGTGTATGACTAGGGCCACACCCGCCCGTGTAAGTTGCGTCGGCAACGGTACAAGCGGCAGCAACGCGGTTTGCGACAAATAATAATAATTATTATCTAGAAAGATAATTACTCTGAAAATATTTTATATATAAATGTATCTAGGCTATTTCGTGTTATTTATTTTACATGATTTTTTCAAGGAAAAATAACTTATGAATTATGTTTATTTATTCATCTTGCTCAAAGTTCTTATACGAAAACCAATGAAGAGATCTTTTAATGTCAAAAAATAATACTTTTATTGTGATCAATCACTGATTATCAGATAGTAATCAGTGAACAACTTACTACTGATTACTAGTTGTACTTGGATCTCAGAGTCTAGCGTTTGATGGCAGCTGAGCTCAAGATTTCATCACAAAAAGTAGAATTGGTTGGTTTTGTAACTCTTACAATTTATGAAACAATTCTGAATAATCTTTGGCGAGAAGATATTGAACTCCATCACCATTAATAACTTTCCAATAGATTAAGGTTCTATCCGCAGCGTAAATGCATGAAATTTAAAACGTGAATCTTACGTCACCTGTAGATATACTGAAGTAGCAAAACCTAAAGGAATATACCATAAACATACTGGAATAGAAATGAATCAGTTTTCGAGCTCTAAGTTGATGAGTACAGACCATGCATATTATACTTATCTTCCCTCTTTGCCCATATATCATTCATATCATACACTTGTTTCGTCGAATTAAGCATTTTGTTATATAAATTAGAAAATTTTCACAATTCTCTTAACTGAATCCAACAAAACATAAGTGCTGATGAATACTAAGATAATAAATGGTCATCAAAACTGAACACTACTTCTGACTTCAATCCCCAAGATCTCGAGATAACTTCTTGAAAATTCCAGAATATATAAAAAGTATTTTTCATACAGAATCTGAGTCTTCCAACCATCTATTTTACCTACTAGACTACTTTTCATCATATTGAACAACGCCAGTGTAAAGAAATAGAAAATTAAGATAAAGTATGATTCAAAGTATATTTTTTATGATGGAATTGGTGTAAACAAGAGTACAACAAACCAAGTACATTATAAGCTCAATGCTTGACAGAACACAATTCAGTTGGAAATTAAGATCATGAAGAAATGATAAGACAGGAAGAAACGATACGTATCTGAAAAGTCGAAGATAATAGTTTTAGAGAATCAGTGATTATACTAGATATTGCCAACTTTTACATTATTAAAGAATGAAGATCCCACATTTTCGGTGGTCGATGTTTCTTTGATAAATCCAAGTGACAAGTTTTTTTCCCTTTCTCTTGACTATTAAAAAATGAATGAAGCCGTTGGTCATACAAGGATAGATAAACTAAGATTAAAATAACTAATAGATTATGTATGGGAATGTAAACTTCAAGGCTGAGATATAACGCTATGTCATGCATGGTTCGAGACTCTTTTTATAAATACCAACTAAAGTTTTCACAGAGAATGGACTGACTCTTGAAATTGATTGAAAGTAACTTGAAGCTACCTAGATAATCTTGGTTGATCTATGAAATCATAACAATTTTTTTCAAAATGGCCAAACATACCCTAATATCAAGAGACTATATTGATTAATATATCTACATTCTGGTTTGTAAGGTTATCCAAAAGAATCTGGAAATGAATAGTGGGTTTGCCTTATGATGACTATTTTCAGATATTATCTGACTTTCATGTCACCAATCCTTATTGAGAATCAATATCGGACCAGATACAAATTATGAGTATACAACAGAATTTATGTTTTGAGTAAAGGATTGATCCGCATAAAAAATTAACATGTTGTAAAGCATATACAACGCCATGAAGCAAGCAAATTTGAGACAACAGTAATTATTAATGAAAATTTTAAAATCTGTTACACTTCCAAGATGCACAGAAGAGCAATAGCAAGAATTGAAAGATTTCAAGGGGATAAGTAATTCATATGCAATCTCTATCTAGATTCCAAATAAAGTGAGGTTCATTAATAAAAATTGATTCAACAATTTAGTCTTCTTAGTCAAGGCAGTAAGCTCTAGTATTGTATACAAATCTGAATAACAGCAAATAATGGAATACTTAGTGTAAATGTTAAACAAACCGTTAAGAGGTTGACATCAGATCCTAAGGCAAAGTTGACGACATTTTTCTTGTTTTGACATTCTTCAAATCCATGACATAATCAACATTCTCATGAAATGTATATATTGATTCATAATGAGATATCACTCGTTCAAATGCGAGCTTCGAATAGGCCTAACGCCTGCAGAGTCGGCAATTGCTTTGTCGTCTAACGTCCGATCTAAACCTAACCTACACAAAACTGCCGCCAGTTCCAATTCGAAGTTCGCCATCGCTTCACATGAACTAGAAAGGAACGCGTCTTACTTCCTAGCTAACCGTCGCTGCCCACTAACACTACACGCTATCATTGCGGTCGCACGATGCTCCAGATCTCATAACTGCAACCAAGTCTGCATCTTGACCTGCCACAACAGAATTTTGCATAGACATCGATTCATATTCTCTACCAAGACATCGTAAGTCTGCTCAACTAACTGCCAATTACTCTCTTCCGCATCCTACAAATTCACCTCCATCTCATTTAACTGATCTTTGGCCAACAATCGTTGAGATCTCATCTCATTGCACTTGGCCTCTAATACTTCTATTAGCTCCATGTCCGGGGTCCTAGCAACCTCACACTCCCTCAAAGCCTTCTCCTTCGCTGCCAACTCTGTTGCATGCACTTGATCTTTTTTCTCCAGATCCTCACTCAACTCATATACTCTTCGTGACTCTTCATTGAACGTTACCCGTGACGCCTCCAATCTATCCCGAAGATCGACTGTCGCACATATTGTGACCTCAATGTCGGCCCGAAGACTCTCACAAGTCTTTTCCGAAGACCTACACATTTCTACATCTTCGGCCAACCTTCTCCGAAGTACCTCGTACTTCGCCTCTGTCTCCCGTAGCTGCTTCTCTTTCTCCACTACTACATTAGTTGTGGCCACCTTTACCCGCATCATATTACGCACTAACTCCACGTAAGATCCGACATTGGTGGTTCTCGAGTACTTCCTTAGCT